CTGTCTCCAGAGTGAGGACAACTAAGGCACAAGGGATCGGTAGGGACTGAACCCCGGGTCCCTCTCTTGTGATTCTCACTGCAGGGTCTTGGGCTTCACCAGTAGGAGGAGGAACACACAGAGCCCAGTGAGGCTGACCTGGAGCCTGAGAAGACCTAAGAGGGGTGCCTGGGGATATCTGAGAAGGGATCGTTGCTGGGACCCACCAGGAGGAGGCTCCAGTTTGGCCAGGAGCAAGGATGAGCCGGGAGCCCGCAGCAGGTGGACCCCCACCTTGGAAGATGTCCTGTTGGGTCGAGGCTGGGTCTTCTCTGGTAAGAGGGGTCCTCTGCTTTGGGAAAGGCTGAGTAAGGCAGAGGTCTCCAGGCTCTTTTTTCCTCCAGTAACTCCAGCGCCACCTGGAGGTTCAGAGCAGCCTCCAACCCCAAGACCCGTGCTCCTTCCTTAGGTTTGAGGCCACACACACTTTCCGTAGTTCTGGGTCTGGGGCCAGCGCAGGCACTGCCCTCTGTCTCAGTGCCTGAGTGCCACCCAGAGCCAGTGCCAGTGAAGTTCTTCCCCTCCTCTGGGAAGGGAGTAGCCTTTTTGTTTTTCTTTTAATTTTTCAGCGTTTGGTGCGTCAAATTAAGTAGTATCCTGAATAACATTTAATTACTGATTCGTTTAAATTTCACAACTCAGGGACAAGAAGTCCACTCACTGAGCTGTGGAGCCAGCAGCCCTGTCCAGCTGCAGCCTGGAGCCCCAGCAGAGGTCTGAATGGAATTTCTAGTTTTAATTTTTTGAGGGAACCCCACACTGACTTCCATGTTTTCTTATTTTATGTGGTCAAACCAAATTATTTTTTATATTCTTACCTTGTATGTCTCTAGTATATGCATAAACTCATTTTGACAGTTTTCCACATCATCCTGGGCTTCCATATAGAAATTATGTAGATTCACAAACTTCAACATTATGTGGTAATTGTTCCCAAATCCCTATTTCTCTAAACCATGCATTTGTTTTAAGTGTCTAATGCTGAGACATATAGTTATTCTCAAGTGTGTGTTCACTTAGTTGCTTAGTATAAAAGAAGGGGACAGAATGCTGTGAGTGCTGGGACAGGAAGGAAGTGAAATTTCAATCAAAGGAAGTAAAAGCAGTGACCTTAGCACCAAAGGGTAAAAAGAGATGATCAAAAACAGGTAGGTAATGTGATGCCTCCAGCTTTGCTCTTTTCGCTCAAGACTTTGACAACTCAGGGTCTTCTCTGACTCCATACTAATTTTAGGCTTTTTCTGTATTTCTCATTCATTGCTGTGTGAATGATGAGTTCTGTACCCCCTCTTTCCCACTGGACAGGGTCAGTCCATGGTATACTGTCTATGTCAAGGCTGTCACCTTTCTAGACTTTTTTTTTTTTTTTTTTGGTACCAGGGATTGAAATGAAATTCTGTCTCATGCTGAAACAAATACTACATGACTCCACTTACACGAGCTATCTATTCATTTTTTTTTTTTCATGGTACTGGGGATCAAACTCCAGCCCTTGCACTTGCGAGGCAGGCGGCAGAACCACTGAGTCAAATCCCCGGCCAACTCTCTAGTCTTTTAGTATTTGTGCCCTTTGGTGGATCCCAAGCCACTGAGATCCCTGGCTTGCTCTGCAGCCCATGGGCTCATGAGGTCCTCTACTTGCTCCAGAATCCCCTCTGTCCGTATACCCAGGGATGTGGCAAACATCCAAGCAGTGATGTATCCCTGGTCACCTTGGCAGATGAGGAAAGCAAACAAACCACTGGAAAGAGTCAATAAGGGGAAGTCAAGTGATCTACTGGACTCAGTCTCAGTGCTTTCCAACCCAGCACCCTCAGAAAACCACAGGTAACCAGCCTGGCTTCTCACCACAGAGGGTGGGACCACTGTGTCCTCCATGGCGTGAGCTCCCTAAGCTTAAATGTCTCAAGGGGCCTGTGACTAGCTTTCTCTCTCTCCATGACTGTCTCCTATGGATGTCTGACATGGAAACCATACTTGGGTGATCTATCCGGCCTCTCAACTCTGCAGTTCTGGGAATCTTTGTTCCCAGCACCCAAGGAGAAGACTTTCTGCCCATGGAGGGGCTGGTCGTAGACTGGGAGAGCCTAGGACCCAGCCCCACACCGAGCCCGGTGGCAGTGGCTTTGTCCCCAGAGTTCAGTGAGGAATCCGGGCCAGGGGGATACAGCCCTCAGAGACAGACTCGTCTCATTGGATCCAGGGAGGCCTCTTTCAGGGGTTGCATCAGGAAGGACCCCAGGTTTCAAAGTCAGATATGAGGGTCCTGGTCCTTTTCAGCCTTTCTCACTGGTGACCCCAGTATCACTGGTTTTCCTATCTGTTAAATGAGGAATAGCCAGGTTGGCTGGATGGGTGACTTGCGGGACTCTTGTTCTGTGCTGGGCACCCATATGGAGCCCCCTGTCAGCTGGTCACAGGGGTCCCCTTCTCAGATGGGCCCTGCTGTGGCTGGGCCCAGGGTGATCAGAGTTATTTGAGGAGGAGTGAGGAAGACCCAGGACCACAGCACACTGTAGCCAAAGGACTTGGCATAGGAAGGACAGGAGCACATGCCCTGGGCTGCCATCCAGGGCCTGTGCTGGAGCACCCTGCTGCCCACCTACCCCAGAAAGAGGCCCACTGGTATGGACCAGGGCCTGGGCTTCATTCATTCTGTCATTCCTCCGTCCCCTCATTCAGCAAGTTTGCTCGGACCCTGCGCCGTGGCTTCCTTGGTGAGCCTGCCCGCAGGGAGATCCCATACATTAGTCCCATAGCATTCGTCAGGCACCAACCACTTCATTAAAATTACGTCTATATTGGAAAGAAACAAGGGAGACAGGTTATGTTTGGCATTTCATCTTGAAAAATAAAGTAAAGGTATGAGGGATAAACCTGTCTCACCAGGCACGGTGGCGCACACCTATAATCTCAGTACTTGGGAGGCTGAAGCAGGAGAATTGCTGCCAGTTCAAGGTCAGCCTGGGCTCCACAGTGAGTTCAAGGCCAGCCTCAACTACAGAGCCAGACCCTGTCACAAAATATCGAATTAAATTAGATGTATCTTGTATTTAACAAAATGTAGGTTACAATCACAAGAATACACTGAGTGCTAGAAACAACAAAGAATAAATTCAGTGTTGTCTGGGTACTCATGACATGATTTTTATGACCAAATTATAGCATCTCAGCTAAAGTCTTCTTGGGCCTCCTTAATTTGCTAAAGGCTCCCTAACCCGATATTTGAGTCATTCCCCTAGGAAACCTCCCTCAGGTGACCTTTGACAGTTGTCTCTTCTGTGACTGTCACGTGGCCTGATCCGGCCTGGTGTCCCTTGTTGGTGACCTTCCTTGTCCTTCAGAAGGGCGGCCCTCATTCATTCCTCAACTCCTGCACCCCGTTTCTTACACAGTTGGCATCCTGATTCTGCCTCCTTCTCCGTGCCCCTATGCCAGGTCTCCTCTCATGATGTCATGAGGGTGACCCTTTGTCCCCATTTGACCAGGGAGGACACTCGAGCACAGAAGGCCCAGAAGCCTGGTGAAGTCACTCAGGCAGCATGGAGCCTCGGCAGATCTGGGTCCCTGAAGGCGGACAAGGACTCAGGAACAATTCATTTGTTGCCAATGATCCTGGGAAGTCAGAGTGAAGCTATGGGAAGGTGAAGCAAGAGGAGACCAGTGAGGGCCCTGGACAAGCAGTGCCTGGGGTGGACACTGGCTTCACACCCACTGGGGTCCTCATCCCACCTGGATGAGCTCTGTCCATGCAGGTGGAGGGTCAACCCCACAGCATCAACACTGTTACGCTTGGGGTGCCCCTGCTGTCTTGCTGGCTAGGAAGCACTGAGGGTTCCTGCGACAGCCTGCAGAGAGGAGGGATGGAGGTGTTCCAAG